GCCAATTTGTGCGTTCAGATCTCGGAGGGAGGCCATGCGTATTTTTTGCTCCTCGCTCTTTGGATGGCTTTTAGTAGCATCAGCGCGTAAATTACGGTTGCTTGATCAACTTCTCTTTGTTTACTTGCATGACAGTCCATTGTCGAATAATAATATTTTAATAACATTAAAGCTGCTCCGTTTTTTGCATGTTCTCCTTTTGTCCTCGAGTGTATGACGAAATTTTAAATATCAGTTTATTTTTTGTTTTTAGCGAGCAGGCCGTAATCAACGTCCACGCCAGTGTATTGGTGTACGATGATGCAGCGAAGAAGTGGGTGCCTTCAGGATCATCGAAGCAGCACGGAGTTTCGCTGGTGCAAATATTGAAAAATGTTCAACTGAGTACCTTTCGCGTGGTCGGCAGGAAGCTACAGGACCACGAAGTGAACTTTTTTCTATTGATTTTTTTCGATTGTTGTCTTGAATCGATAAATTTGCAAAAATGATATTTGATTATGATCTTCATCTAAATGCGCTAAACCTCGGCCGCGAGCAAAATGGCTCATTTGTTCTCTGAGTGACTGAAGATGCCTGGTCTTTGTAATTCTCATTGCACGCATCACTTTAAGGCTAGTATTATTACAGCGTTACCGACATCATTTAAGGTATCTCTCATTTACGCTGGTCTTATTAGTTTGAGATCAGTAATGTTCACATGGACAGTAATTGTAGTTAATTTTGTTGGGAACTGAAAGGTATGATGGGTTACTCTAGTCTTTTACATGGCTATTTGTCTTTGCTGAAGTACAAGAGTACACTATATCAAGTCGACTACTTCTGTTGGTTCTGCCGTAGTTGAGATCTGAAATCCTCGATGCTCATTTAGCTTCGAACATATCTTCATCATGTTGGGTATGAATGACTATGGCTCGTAGCTGTATACCAAGTTACCTAGAGGAGGTCTATCCTAATGTTTCGTGCCATAGTGGTACGCGCTCAAAATATAAATGCGTTACAGGTACCAAAAGTGGAGGTACTCTGCAGCAGTACAGACAGAATGGGGGTTTAAAATCACAGTCGTACTTTAGCCCCCGATCTCTTAACAACGTTCTAATACGCCTTCGCCTTCCCTTGTTTTGCTTTCTAACATTGAACTTTTTTGTGGCGTAGATTAGAGAGCAAAAGTAGCCTCCTTCGTAATGCAATACTTGGTATGAACGTTTATGAGTTTAAATGTAAATCTAATCTGACTGCTTCACTTCAGAGCGCATTCGAAGTAGTTTAACTCATAACTGTATGGTACTTTTTGTAAGCCCCGCGGAGGATGGTAGCCTTACACATTTGGGTGTAGCACTCACAGATATGAAGGATTTAGCTATTGCAAGGTTGTATCCTGAATTCAGCCTATAACTGATTAATGTTACTTTACAAGTTCTTAAAACAGTGATATTTATGCCTTGCGGTGGCAGGACTGACATCTTTGATGTGATTCGTGGCGTACGATACTTCTATAGGAATGGAGTGATTGCGAGACGGTCAGTCCATAACTTTTGCCCTCGAAGATCTGGATCATTTAAGCTGAACTGTTTGAAAGAGTCCAAGATTGTCCGCGAAGCGATGTCTAAAGTTTCTGAAGTTTAAAGAGATCAGGGCTACAATAAGGCGGTACAGTTCAAATGTTTTCATTGTCAACAACATCATAATGATATTAATTTAATTTATGCCCTTGTTGGTTAAAGTATGTTGCATTTAATTTGTTTTTGCTGTATATATGTATGTTTTTGGTCAGTGACTGATTTTTCAGGTGGTCATAAACAGTCTCATCGGCAAGAGCTTCAAATACAGCTTAAGCCCGTCGACGTTTTTGCAGTGGAGGGATCAGAACGTGGTGTATGGTCTTAATTTTCTGAACGCGGAGGACGCCAGCGCTTTTGGAACCGCGATGTTGAGTGCCGTCGAGAGCATGAGCGCCACCTACGGCCAAGTCCATGGTATTGCTTGCTTGCTTGCTTGCTTGCTTGCTTCCGCTGAGCATGACCGATGATGCATGGCGACTTGTTGACGATCGTAATCATTCTTAGCTCAAAACGGATTTTCGACCGTTTCGTCGGCACCCAATTTCCGGCAGCTATCCGGCAACAACGTCACGCATTTGGAGGTACAAGACGACAACGGAGACGCGTGTCGCCCAGTCGCTCAACTGCAGCGGCGGGCGTCACAAAGCAGCAACGCTAGCAGCGGAAGCACAGGCAGCTCTGTGCCAAATCAGAGTACGTGCCCTTCGCTACCTTTGTTCGTAGAGTTTCAAGCTCTTAGCTTGTATTTGATTAGGCAACGTTATCTACTCATCGAATATCGGACCGTCATCAGTATGCACTGGTCAGCAGTTTGCGGGCGCAACGCCCTCCAGAGCTGCTCCTCCGGCGCCTCCGCCCGCACCTCCGTTGCAGCTACAAACAGCGTCACGCTCTCTTGGTGGAGGCTTCGGCAGAGGAACGGGGGGCTCTTCCAGCGGCTCCAATCCTCCGGCACCTCCACCATTGCCGCCGTCTGACTGTGGCTCCTCGACTTCTTGGCAAAATAGCAGGCCGACCAACTTCGCACAAGCGTTGGCATCGGCTAAACTCCGTAAGACATGCGCGAACGAAGAGTCAAAAGAATCGAAAACCGCTGAAATTTCGGCCAGCGGCGGTCACAGGTTCGGCGCCTTGGGCTCCAACAGCAGCATCGGCGGAATCTCGGCACATAGCGACATCATTTCCGAGATCACGGCTACTCTGGCCAAGCGACGAATGCTCCAAGAGAACGCTACCGAACCGGAGTCATCCGCCGT